CCTAATCTTCTAGCTCACGACTCTCTGTGTACTATGCCACAGCAACAGCTAGTATATATATATATATATATATATATATATATATATATATATATATATATATATATATATATATATATATATAAAGAAATTTGAGCTGTGAAACAAACATTTGCATTTTTACGGCACCTACTGATTTTGAGGCCCTAAATGTAGCTACGCTTATGTGTAAATCCTGCACTGCTAAAATATGGTGACCACATGAGCTCTGACAACAGGTTTTTAAAAATATGATGACAAGTTATCAAACGAAACGAAAAAAAGAACCAGTCAGCTGAACGGTATCACAATCACAAACAAAAAGTGAAATTTACGGCTAAAAAGTTTTCCTCAGCACAAGCCATGAGTAGACAATTGCAATGTTACACTTATACACAAAATCACTTCTGAGGTTTATGCAAGAAAAACCCACATGCCTTCCGATTAATTAAAGCTCATGTCTCATCCCCGTGTGGGTTCCGGGGTCCTGTTATAGGGAAAACAAGAATAGACTCACTGCCTACCCAAAAATATGTCGTTAGAGTTGACTAATTGGGAGCTTCCTTCAAAGTCGGAGTGCATCTGCATGAGAGGCAAGGAACCAGCAGTCTGCATACAAATGAGTCAGATCTATAAAACAGATGCACACGCAATACTCAGGTTCTGGAACAGGACTGCAGTCCAGAAGTGGACGAACAACCAGAACTTTCCGCCAGAGTTTACAGCAGGTGAAGGCAAAGAAGAAGAAGAAGCTGGCGCCACTGGCGTGAATAAATAAATCTTCCTCTTCTTCCTTGCCTCTCAGGTAGATGCAATCCGATTTTGAAGGAAGCCCCTAATTAGTCGACTCTTACGACATGCTTTTGGGTAGTCAGGGGTTCTATTCTTGTTTTCCCCCAGAACCCACACGAGAAATAAATAAATGAATGAATTAAGAATTGACATCACTGCACTCAAAGACACACCCACACGTGCTCCGTCTCCTTCCTCAGTAGCCGACGAAGAGTTGATATGCTAAAAGTGCCAGATGCAACCTGATTAAAAGTTCGCCCACGTTTTCCCCCTCAGTACTGAATACCTTCAAGACCCTTTATTCTCTCTATATTCCCGTGTGTATTGCAGCGCATGTAAAAAATATCTTGGCAGTTAGAAATCGAAAAAATAATAGCCTAACCGCGGTGCCCGGTGTCGCGTGCGTATATGCAATAGAACGCACCAGTACTGAGTGAGCAAATAGGACGTCAAAAAAATACGTAATGTTGTTAAGGAATTGTTGTGAAAGCATTCGATGTATACAGTCTGAAGGAGACAGTCGTGTGGTCGTGTCTCAGTGGATCCCTGAGGACGGTCTACCCAGGGACTCCACTAGAAACCTCAGCGGAAAGCTGGTACATTGTCTATTGCACTCGGCAGGAAGCCGGTAAAATTTAAGGAGGGATTCTCCAGCCCGAATCATTAAAGAGGGTCATTGCCCTGATCAGACTGCGGGGAAGGAGATCGATGTGACAGTCTGACCTTCCAAGGTCGGGCTTTTGACCTGTCGTTTTAATTGAAGATGTCATTCGGAGTATTTAATGGTGTGCGTGCGGTGGCTTGTGTTGGCGTGTTTGGGTGAGTCTGCACAAGGAGTTCGATTATTGCACATTTTCTCATTGATCAAGTTGTCAACAAATACACCAATTATACTGAGTCTCATAGCGTTCATCGTTTAATTGCCGTTTGGAAGCATTGAAGTTCATCATGTTCTGCCACACTTGGCTGATGGCATTGTAATTTATCTGATGCCGCATTTTATTTACCCGATCACACAATTCAAAGGGAACCTACGCCTCTCAGCAAGCCGCCGCACATCACACCCGGGCAAAATTTGAATTTCAAGAACGGATTTTGTTCACTGCGCTCAGAATCTTCAGACTCAGGCTTGAGTTAGAAGTAGAACGGAGCACTTATGAGTTACACCCATGTGTCCTGATGTTGATCCGTCCAATAAACATAAACATGAACTCTAGGTTCAATCAGTTTTTCAACATGTGGATTCCCTATGTTGCACTGTTCATTTTATCACAGGCAGACTTCGCCCCTCCCGCTTAAATGTCCACAAACTAATAATAATAATAATAATAATAATAATAATAATAATAATAATAATAATAATAATAATAATAATAATAATAATATTAATAACAAATTGGGAATTCTTTCAGAAATAATGGGCGCGGGGCAACGAATCGTCTTATCTTTGACGTTATAGTTAACAATTCTTAGATTGGTACGAAGTTTAATTTCTACTGACTTCGAGTATCACAGTTTAACTGTTTATTTTGTATCTCGGTTACACTTGACTACCTTCCCTACTGTTGTCATGTTATCTCCACATAACATGGTAGCCCACAGAAGAGTCCAAAGTTAGCTTTATCTTTCTTAGTCTAACTTTGTGTCCATATTTAGTTCTATTTTCCGACCTGACCTCATTACGCCAATT